AGTCATTAAGCTTTCATACAGTCGTTCCGCTATCCGCTCGCTTCCGTGCTCGGTACAGCGATATCGCTTCGATTTTGCCATTATCTCCGTGCGGCGTTGCCCCGGCCGGAGTCGCGCCATTGAAAAATGTTGTTTTTAAATCGTTCGTCGAGAAGTAAGTCGTGACAAATTGCACAGTTCGCCACTAGAAGCTACGTTATCTCGGGAGCTCGCGTGCAGCGCTCGCTCGCAAAAACGCGCTCGCGTTCTAAGCGGAGGGTACAGTAGGAGCGGCTCGTCGTGCATCTGTCAGTTATGAATGAATTCCGCTACTTGCGAACGTACAATTTGGCGGAAAGCCCAAACAACAACGACGCGCGTTCAGTCACAATCGAGAGAGCCTTTGGCGTGCGCGCGTGTTGGTTGAATGCGGCATTATCGTCGCCCAAGGCGTTTCACTTCGCTGATGAGGAAAGAGAGTCCGTTATTAATAGTTTGATTAACGACGAGGGATCATCATTTTTACGACGCGCGTTGTGCAAAAAAGAAAAAAGAAAAAGGGACAGAGCTTTGATTGGGAAGAGGCGAAGCACGTGTGTGAAATCCGCACGGCATGCGGATCGCTTACCGCTCGATCGACAGTTTTGCAAAATTATTAGGACAAGGCAGTCGCGTGTGGAATTTGCCGATTTTCGATTCTACATATCGGATAATACCGGCCCGAGAGAACATTTCGTAACGCGCCCCGCTGTCAACCGCGCGCAACGTGTATATAGCGCGACACTGTAATCAAGTGTTAGGCGTTATAGCACGATGATTCTATTTATGGGTCCGCAGTCGATTCAAATATCATCGTAGCGAGACCCGCGAAACACGGTGCATTAGCATTGCACCTGGTGTCTCTCGCGAAGCGAATCCAACGGCGAGCTGAGACGCGCGTTACGGAGCCGCATACGCATACACACACACACACATTCTCTCTCTCTCTCTCTCTGTTTCTCTCTCTCTCTCTCTCTCTCTCTCTCTGTCTCTCTCTGTCTGTCTCTCTCTCTCTCTCTCTCTCTCTCTCTCTCTCTCTGTCTCTCTCTCTGTTTCTCGTCGTGCATTTTGCGCTATGACAATTTCGTTTCATTCTGCATTAGACTTAGCCTCAAGAAAGAGACTCGTTGAGACTCTCGTTCCGACCTCGTTTTTGGAAACGTTTCTCTTCTCCTGCCCGCCGTTCTCCTGCTTCGTCGCTTTTTCTCTCCTGTTTTCGCAGCAACGTTCTCTTGTGTGTTGCACAACATAACGACTCTGTCGTAATCGTTATCGAAATGGTCGATATATGCAAATAACTAAAGCCCTCGAGACCTTTCCGTTCCGGAACGACCTTCCCGTGTGCTTTTATTTTTACTAACGGCGCTTTAAAGTCAGATACGCCGCCCGAAACGCCGCCAGCGTCTCGCGATGACAATTGCGGTCGTCGCAATTTTGCGATGCACCCAGTATGCAGAGTCCGAGTTTATCAAGCGCTATAATAATTATAGACCGCAGCGGTCGCGACTCTCCCTTGCAGGCGGAAATTCGGCATGCAGTATTAATTAACGGCTTATAAAGGTCCATCGATTTGAAGATTATTCATAGATACCTCGAACATGCTGAATCAATTTGCTTCTGGCTATCTCTGTTACCATTTCTTTCGCTCGCGTGGTATATATCATGAAAATGAACGTGTACGGTTTTATGTGTGTGTGTGTATGTGTATACATTGGATTTACGTAACAGACTTTGCCTCGAGAAGCGGATTATGCATATGTCGCAAGAGAGATATCGTTCTTTATTTTATCGTTATTACACCTCACATTTCCACTTTAAACGCTCATATGTAATATACGCGCTGCAGTATACAAGTTGCGCCTCGATAACATAAAAATGTTCAAAACTGCTGCGTGCGCGATTGTCGGCCGGAGGCTATCCATAGTAAACCACAGAGTGCTCTCTCTCTCTCTCTCTCTCTCTCTCTCTCTGTGTCTGTCTCTCTCCACTGTTCGTTTCCTCGAAAATTTTACTGGCGCGAATTAATAGCCCGCAATGAGAGCAACACGAGAGCTATGTATCGATTCGTGGTTTTATTGTGAAATTAAAGGACTCCGCGGGATTTAGCCGACGCGTTGTTTAAAAACCTGCCTTCGCTTAGCGGTGATTTTTAACGAGCCGCCCTGACGCTCTCAAATTGGCATTTCGGCGAGCGCGTGTATGTACGTCGCATGCGGCTTATCCGTACCTACGAGTATAAGCCGCTCAAGAGCCCGTGCCCGTAAAAGTATCAATAAAAGCCGTTATACTCGTCGTGAATATCAACGAGCTGACTGTGTCAGCTGGCGGAGCGCGAGCTCAGGGTGAGTGCAGTACGTCGCGCGCGTTTGCCGGCGCCTATTAACCTCAGTCAAGATTAAATATGAGGGTCGAATAGAGAATTCCTAACCCGCGGGGGTGAGAGAGAGAGAGAGAGAGAGAGAGAGAGAGAGAGAGGGAGAGAGGGAGGGAGGGAGGGAGGGAGGGGGAGAGAGAGAGAGAGAGAGAGAGAGAGAGAGAGAGAGAGAGAGAGGGAGAGAGAGAGAGAGCGAGAGAGAGAGAGAGAGAGTCGACATCGCTCGGACGTGCCATCCGTTGAATAATACAACGACTTTAATCTTTCGGGTGTTATCACAGCGAACTCGTGACGCGTCACCTTCCTTACGGCGTAACTTCGGCTGAGGTCGTTGCGGAGAAATTTTTACCGCATGCAGAGAGACTGCTTGTTTCTTTTGAATTTCAAATGATTCTACATATTGCTGGAGAGCAAGCGAACGTGTTAACTCGCGGGGGTGATATTTTTGCGAAAACTTTACGGATTGAAAAACACAGAGGCCGCAGAATTTCAACATCGCGTTTCTCCGCATTGTCCCGCCGGTGCGGAGGAAAAAAACACGTGCGCTTCTTCCTCCCTCTTCGTGGCCGACAATGCATCATGTGGTTGACGCCGTACGTCGCTGAGCGATTACACGCGTTGCGCGTGCAAATGTAAAAGTTAGGCGGAGAGGCAAATTTCGATTTAGCAGCTACGGCACTCTTCTTCTCTCTGTGCTCATCGAGAGTGCTGGCGCGCTAACGATGTTAAATCGCGCGTATTTTATGTGTCCTATTATTTATTACCGTAATACATTTGACTCTTGGTAGGATTATAGACGCACGTCGGCTTTCATTTTATCCACGACCGCGGTAGAGCACGATTTATTCGAGTGCCATTTAACACGCACGGATATAATGGCACCCACGATCAATTATTTAAGTGCATTCAAGAATCCTGCATTCGTAGAATCCGTCTGATTTGTGTTATTGACCGATGGCGATGAAAAGTGCTCGCGGAATGATTTATCGTACGTTGGCGTTTTTGCTTATAACAGCGGGTTCGTCGGTACTCCTCGTGAAAAGCTCACAAATGGAGCTTTATCACGCTGGAAACTTACCGACAGCGGGTTAGTCGAGCTTCCACAGCTTCCTCAGGATACGAAAGCTCCGCTGACCTTCCCGCTGACGTTTACCGCTGCTTTATTTATCCACGATAAGGATGAGCATTACTCTCTCAAACATAAAGTAGCTTTTCATAATTGACGTCGCGTTTACTTCTTAAAATCGGATTAAAAGTTGCGCACAGTGTATGTAGCTCCGGCGAGATTACATTTATATTGTCTGTGAATTTTTAATTTCTACCGCGACTATCTGCTTCGTAACTTCATAAGCCTGTTTTCTTTCATAAACACAATGTTCCGTAATATTCATTATAATACTAACGAATCGATTAACCTTCGACTCGCACAACATCCGCGTTATCCGCGAGCAACGTTAGAGACTAGTCGTAGTAATTTCCCTTTTATTCTCCGGCGCGTCAACACCTTCGGTGAAAAGGAGCGACAATGCAGCTTCTCATATGGTGTATACACGCACACGCTACGACATGTATGTATGCATTTTCCGCCAAGCGCGCATATAAATTCGGTCGTTGCGTCGCGCCAAGGCGATAACGAAATAAGTCAATACAATCTCGTCCCGCCAGAAATTATGCGGCGATGGTCTCGCCGGAGTAATTTCCCGGCTGGAAATTTCCCCCAAGATATTATATAGGCTCGCGTCGTCACGGTGCTTCCATCAATGGCAGCAACATATCGGAAATTATCTCCGCGGCTTATTCGATAATCCCCTTTCGATCTCGCTCGCTCTCCCCGCGCAAGCGGGTAACACTTTAAACCTAGGGCGTTGCCTTCCAATTTTATGCCGCGCAAAAGAAGGATACCGGTAGATCCAAAGGATACAACGTTTCACGATCACCTGTTTCGCGATTCAAAATTATCTTCCTTCGTTTACCAAATTTGTATTTGTACACGGAGAAAAATATCCGAAACATCCGATTGTTAATTTCCGATTTATCCGATCAAATATCCGATTAAATACACCGGATATTTGATCGGATAACGAGATTAAAAGAATCGGATATTTCGGATATTCTTCTCAGTGTACATTTAGGTAGAACATATCGAAGCATGTCGGGCTGAACATGCATTAACTACCCGAGAAATAAAACTCCTGAGATTTGGAATAATTTCCCGAGAGGTTCTGTAATCACGAAATAATAATAATAACAATAACTTCCCCCCGGTACATTCATTCTCATTGTACTTATTTCAACATTTTTACGAGACAATTTCAGAATATACCCCATTGTTGCGACGATGCAAATCCCCACACGGTCATATGTCTGGAGAAAATGCACGAAATGCACCGTATCACCGAGAAACGGGAAGCAGATGCAGTCGATGGACGCCGCGGATCGACGCGGAAGCCAGATCGGCCAGATCTTACCGAAAGCGATCCTGTTCTGACAAACTCGAGGAGGAGGAGGAGGGAGAGAAAATACTCGCCGCTAAAAACTTGCCGCGGCGCGAATCGCGCCCGCGCGCGCTCCTAATTATCGAGCAGCGAATAAGAGATGCGTTACGTACCTTTGATGAAATCCACCGCCATCTCAAGGCCGTACGTGTCCTTGTCGCAGTCGTCGAGTATGTGCGCCCCGATCTTAACCCCCGGCACGATCTCCCGATCGTTGAGCGTATCCAACGTATACAGCATCGCCTCGAGGGCCTGCACTCCACCCTGAGGCATCACAGGGCCGCATGTGATGGTATCTTCCCGCTCGTGGACCATCATTAACCCACCGAGGACGAGGTCGCCCTCCACCACCGCGCTGTGTTTCACCGGCCACTGGTCCAAGAGCGCGGTACCGGCCGATGAGTCGTCGACATTCTCCGCCGTGACGTTAACGAAGACACCTCGAGTGTGCTCGCCGCTGCTTGGAGCAGGCGAATCTACGATCGGGGTCGTCAGGCCGGCCGAGCTGTCGGCGTACTCCGCACGTCCTTCCGCCGAGCTAATCGGCTCGATTGATGACCCGCTCGAGGTGTTCTCGCGGCCGGCTGGCCGCGCGGTTACTTCCGCAACCGGCGGAGCTGCTTCTTCGCGGGTAACGGAGTTATCTATTTTGGTTACCGCGGTCGATCGATCGCGCGTCTTCATCAGAGATGAAGCCGGTCTTTCCGCCGTGCTGACGCTCGACGACGTTTTCGGGGCGCCGGTGTGCGCCGGTATCTCTAATGAGTCGGAGCTCGTTCTCGCTCGAGTGCTGCTGGTGTATCGCGCGTAATCGGTGGCCACCGGCGTTATCGATCGCCGTTCCGTCTGGATTCCGCGGTACTTGGGAGACGACGTCGTCGTCGTCCCCACGATACTCATGATGGATTCTTCGGCGGAGAGTGACACTCGAGCCGTATCGCTCATTTGAGCAGTCGAAATGGATGGGCTCGCGATCAACTCGAGCGTCGGGCTCACCATTCTCATCGTCTCCGGTCTTGTTATCGTGTCGAGTGCCCTACGCGTCTTAGACTTCGTCAACGTCCAACTTTTCCAAGGGCTCGACCAAACTTGGTGACGCTTATATCGCCGATACGTCGAGTCGCGAGCGTCTTCGTCTCGAGGGCTTCGGCTAGCGGGCTCTCTTGGCGCGTCATCCTCCTTTCCACCCGGATTGTTCGTTCGCACGATTTCCGCGCTTTCGCGAAACCCAAGCTCGTCCGTGAGCTCCTCGAACGGCGGAGTTGGCGACGCGTGTTCATCGGTGTGCCACATCTCGATCGAATTATTGGCGATAATCACCGCGTCGGGAGAGACCGATCCGCTCGCGGTGGAAGTCTGCGAAGACCGGCCGTCGAGTCCCGAGACGCGCCCGTCACCTGCCGACTCCACGACGATGCGTGACGACGGTCTAACAGGTCCGAGCGCCGTCAACTTCCGCGAATATCTCGGCCGACTCCGCGCTCTTTGCTCGGACGAGTTTCCGAATTTTGCAACCCCCGCCGACGCGGGCCCGCCGGAGACATTCCGGAGGCCGACTTCAACCGCACCGCGAACTTCGGCCTGGCCAACCGCGAGCCGACGCTCGCAGGCCATTCCGGACTTAACGTGTCGCACGTGCATTGGATTCCACCGCTGCGTGACTGAAATACGCGCTGATATCGGAAGCTCCGGCTGCGACTCATCGAGCCGCGAGCCGGCAGCCAAATCGGGAGATGACGGATCGCTCTCGTCCACCATCGCATCGCCGCTCACCCCTTCGAGTCCCTTCGGCCCGATGGTCTTCCTTCTTACTCGCGGCAGACTCGTCGCTCGCTCGCCCCGTAGCCCGCCGACATTGCGTACCGAAGAATGATATTCGCGTCGCGAGGCCTCTGCATCTCTCGCTGCTCTCAAAGCAGCGTCCCCCCCTTCCTCGCCCCGCACCGGCGGTCGTTCCATAAAGCGACTCGCATTGAGATATCCATCGGGCGAATTCGGTGCGCGAGAAGCGAGGGAGTTCCTGGCATCCTCGTCCCGTCTTCTGTCCTCGCGCACGCTTGTATTTACCTCAAGTCCTATCTTTGAGCGTTTCCCTCCGCGGCGCCGCTCGTGCAGCAGCCGACCGAGCGCCGGAGACTCGACGGTCGCTTTGTAGCTTGATTTCGGATACTCGTCCCGCGGGAAGTGATAGCGACCGAACGGCTTTTCGCGGACCCCGGGACCCGAGATCCACACGGTCCACGAGCTCGCAATGATCGCGGCGGGTCTTCCGTGCGACGAGGAGGTCCTCGCGATCGTGCGGTCTGTAAAAATATCCGGCGCGCTTCGCACAGCCGCGTGACTTTGATTCCCTCTCGAAGCCGAGCGCCTCGGGAAGGCCGTCTCCGCCGAGAGCCGCGAATCGCCGTCGTCTTCGGCGTAGCTCGCTTCGTTCACGCTGTTCCTCGTGAGATCGCGATGCCGAGGATCCGCCGTCGTCGAAGCGTCGAAGAGCCGTCGCGCGCGTGAGCGGCCTGAGCGTTTGAAGAACTTGCCGTGGAGGAATACAGCTGCGGTCGCGCCGTTTCCTCCGTTAAAATGTCGCCCTCTTCGCCGGTCGATCGTCGCGTCACGCCTGACCGCCCGTGTCTCTTTGCGAATGTCTAAAAACACGTTGGTGGTTTCTTCTTTCCGACCTCCTCCGTGGCTCCGGGCGTTTCTCGCTTCCCGCACTCGGGACGACTCGCGGTAGCGCGCGTCCCCCGGCTTTTCCGGAATTACTATTTGCGACAACCGCGTACTCACCGTTGCGACTCTTTCAGCGGCGGCCAGTCGAGCATTTCCGTCGCCTCCTCCGCCTCTCGAGCACTTCGGCGATGGCGTGGCTATTGCGTTTGACATCGCAATGCGCTTTCCGAGGCCATTCAAGTGCCGAGTTGCCGTATTTTTCGATTCAGCCGGCGGTACCGCCCCCGTATACGTTGATGAACGATCGCTCTCTCTCGCGTATCGCCGCGGCCGGGAATCGTCAACGGGCTGCTTATCGAGCACGGGAATTGCGGCTCCTCGGCGAACCTCGCGGGAGGTGCGAGCGTCCTTGTTGATGCCCGGATTATCGGAAATCCTCTCGCCGGCTAAGCCGCTATTCAAAATCAAGAAGAGCGTCCAAACGGCCAGGATGGCCGTCCAGCCGGAGTTTCGCCACATCACCTCTTCGGCGCATTAATCATCGCCAGGTTCTGGAAAAACCGACAAAACATCACGTGTCAATTGCGTCAGTCTCGATTCGCAGCATCTGCACACTAAGATCGGCTGCGCGCGAGCGCGCGCGCGCGCTTGGCAAAATTGTTTATTCGACGATGATACGCTGCGAGAAAGAGAGAGAGAGAGAGAGAGAGAGAGAGGGGCGAACGTGCAATTGCAATGCAACGTGAAATTTCCACCGACTTGCTATTCGGGTAAGCGAGATGTCTCGCGCAACGCGTAACGTCAGACTCAAACAGCGTGGCGAAAGCAGACGATCTTTGTCGCTTGTCATACTGTTGCGGTATTCGTAATTTGATTTGAACACGTTCGGATCCACAGCTACGGCGCCGCTCCTGCTCGCGGACGGTGCGGTTCCCTAATTTCGTGCATTCCGCCGCGCCGCGCTCAGTTAAAAGGGCTTTACTACATATCGGGGCCTTGCGCGTCGGGAACGATGCTAACGAGTCGGTTGCAATTACGTCGTTAAATCACTTGGACGCCTCATTTTAATCGAGACGGAAATTTCAGCCCCGCCCCGCGCGCGCGCGATTCTGCCTTACATCTGCGCCGGTTGCGGATCGCGCCTTTGGCGCAATTACGAAATCCGCTTAAGAATTCGAGGTAATTTACGTCTATTGCGCGGCACGGTGTTATTGACGCGTGTGCGACATTCGCGTTAATTAAGCGTATTTTCAGCGCGACGAAAATCTCCAGAGGGTGAGAGAGAGAGAGAGAGAGAGAGGGAAGGACTATATTTCAGTTCACGTTTAATTTACATCGGTTCGCGCGGCACCGCGATATTTCTAAATTAAACGCGCGCTCGCCGCGGTAATTCCAAATCTTTCAAATTTCCCGTTAAGACGCTACGTCTGCGGAGAGTTGCCTCGCTGTGGAATATGCATTAGATAAACAGAATGCGCGTCACGGTTTACCCGAAATATGGATTAGACGCGTTTCGCGAGAAGACACGCGTCCGCTTTGAGCGCTAAACTCGAGATTAGCGATATACACGTACTACAAATGTTTACGAACGCAAGCCGATCGACAACCGTCGCGTTGCGTTTTTCCGAAGAAATAGCCACCAGAGCCAGCCTTGCGCGAGACCGGCGTTATTTTTGGTGGAACGCATTGGAAGGTCGTGCTGCTCGATAGCTTAGTGCGGATTGTGTTGGCAGAATTGATCGGGCGCGTCCGAAAGAGCTTGTGTATCGCATGACTTGAGCTTTCTGCAATCCTCGTTCTTTGATGTTCGTTGATCTGTGGAGATAATTAACGGTTTGCCGTTGCTGATTTCGAAAGTCTCTTTGATTGTTACGCGCGGTTAACCGACTAATGCGCTATTTCCATCGCGCTTATTTCCTCATCTTCTTCCACACTCTGCGCATCAAAATTTCCCAGCAATTTTCCAGGTGCACCATAGACTCCGATCAAAATTCCCAAATTTGTCTCAAAGTTTCTCTCGAAGAATATAGAAGTGCTGCGAAAACTCGCTCTTTCTTCACGCCTCATCTTTGATCACACGCTTGTTTTTAGTACGATAAATAAAATGAAAAGAATTCGAACACAGAGTAAAAATTACTCGTAGAACGATCGATATTATACTTGTGAACGTTTCGACTACTTCGTTTGATTTGTGCGCGCGCGCGCACGCGCGTGCGAAAAGAAGCGCTTGGAAATCTAGAAGAAGAGATTATTGCTCCTCCAACTCGAGAACTTAATGTATCACAAGTACGCATGAAATAATACTTTCGCAAGAAAGCTCGCAGTTGAGCGTGCCGTATAAAGCGCGACTACGAGCGACTTTATGTCGCGCGCTACCGCGTCGCTGAAGAAGCAATTCCATTTGTTCGCGCAGCACAAATGGCACAATAAGAAACGCGTTATATCAGAAAGCTTCGTGCCCAGTCTCTCCCCTCCGGGCGAGATCGTCTAAACGCTGTCTAACAAAAATAACATCGCGATTCGTCATCGCGGGAGCACCATAGAATGAAAACGTAGCTGAGAATTTGCGTTAACATTTACCCCATCGCGAGACCTAACAATTCCGATACGTACGTAACATTCATCTCTGTGCGTCGACATCTGCATGCGTCAAGATGGAGTCGTTGCCATTGTCGGCGGTACAAACAAATCGAGCACCGATGCGATACCGTGAGAGTACAGGTAACGGGAAAAAGGAGGAAAATAAGAGAGAAAAAGGAGAGAGAGAGAGAGAGAGAGAGAGAGAGAGAGAGAGAGAGAGAGAGAGAGGATATCGTCGAGCCTCCGTTACGGATGAAAAGTTGGAGCGGAAACTTCCTCAAGCGAATCGTTCATCGACACGAAATAGTAAATAAGTTTCGTGGCGCACCGAGAAAAATAGGCGTCCCTCCTTTGTCGGAGTGCCTACAAACTTTAATCGGAACTCTGTGTTGCCTCTGAAAGGCTTCCCTCGTTAACGGCATGTTCCGGATGATAATTATAGCCAGTAGTGCGGTAATACCGCGGCTTGTGGCCGGTTCAAGTTACATTTATCGGGCGCCGCTGTGAGAGGCAAATTCGTTCGAATCGGCGAAAGAGAAACACGGTTTTGTAACGTGGAATCGTTTTGATCGGAACAAATAATGGGAGAACCTCACCGCCCTCCATCTGTCATTATCGATCTGTCCCCGACCGTCTATTCCCCCCCCCCCCCGCGCGTGTCAAATACCGATAGATTTTCCTATTTTGAAGGATATCGCGCGTTTAATGACCGACGTATTTTTTCCCATTAAACGATGCAAAACACGCGCAAAGCAGAGCGCGCATGTCTGCGCGTATGTGTGTGTGTGTGTGTATGTGTGTGTGTATGTGTGTGAGCACGCGCTTTAAAGTCTGAACATTTCACGAGCATTAACTGTCTGTTACGCCATGTAAAGTTAGAAAAAAAGTTACACATCCGTACATCTATATTTTTCAAGTGTAATCTCGTTCGCTCACCGTCGCGGCTTTGAAACAATATCACCGCCAGCGAACAGCAAATTGTTACAGTAGTTACCTGCTCCTGTTTTCTGCGTCAGAGTATATTTATATTGTTTAAAGATGATAAAACATTTGTGGACAAAAATCTGCCAATATATTATCCTTTCGTCATCCTTTGGAAGCACAAACGGTCGAGTTGTAAAAATTCGCTTACGAGATATTATCGATTAGAACGCCGCGTTGTAAAATCCGATTTCAGCAAATATTGTCGAAGTGTCGAGTGTTGAGACGGCAAAGATGCGCAAATCGAGCGGACGCGCCGAGTCTTCGCCGCGGTGTCGGCCAGACGAGATCGTCGCGTCGTCTCCGCTAATCCGCGGTCGCGCATCGAAGCGAGAACTCGTACGTGCCGATTTTATACGTCTCAGCGGCTCCGATCCGGCTCTGATCTGCATCGATTGCGAAATGATCCCCCCAAGTTTCCGCGTCATTCGTGAGATTCGGTAATAAAGACGGGGCGCGCGCGAACCCCCGTTTCCAGGGCGACCCGTTCCAGTCGCCGGCTCCTGCGGTCTCCGCGCCGCTTAATTACAGTCGCGTGAAAGCTTGCGACTGTGAGTAAACGAATCTCCACTGTCGCCGAATATCGCTCTCGCTGGCTCTTTCATTACGACTCGCGCCACTTGCAATTTCTAACCGAGTGCCGCGCGCGCAGCACAATCCGCGCCGTTCGCGCCGTGCTTTTATGAATTCGCCACGGACAAACTGTGCCATGTCCTATCGTGTTGAACGTCGAGCGAAGCGACGCGTCTGTCTTTCTCCTCTGCTATTATTTCGTCTCCTTCTTGTTTCCTTCCCTCCCGCCGGAATCCTCTTTTCGTGGATTCGTACGAAAAGAGCGGTCGCCTCGCGTCATCCATCGTTACGCAGAAAGAATCGAGTAACCCGAGTTGACGCGACAGAGAGAGAGAGAGAGAGAGAGAGAGAGAGAGAGAGAGAGAGAGAGAGAGAGAGAGAGAGAGAGAGAGAGGCGACCAATCTGTATGGAAATATGCGGCGCAATTTGTTTTCGTATTTTTACCGCGGATTTACGTTTGATTCGTTGCGATTCGCTCTTTAGAGCCCACGACGACGCGGAAAGAAAAACAAATGAGGGAGAAACGGAAAAAGAAAGAGAAAGATGAAGAGAGACTGAGAGAGATGGAGAAAAAGAAAAGGAAAGGAGGGAGAGATAAAGGAGAAAGGGGAAACGCATCCCGCGGGACAAGTAGGTTTGTGAATTTTCGCACGTTCGAGTTCGCATTGCTGCGTGGGACTGTTATGAGCGAAGCGGGACGTAAAGGCGCGCGGAATTAAAGGAACGTTAATGACACGCGACGCCAGTCCAAGTGACGGAGGAGAAGCAAGGAGCTACCTCGAAAATAATGAAGAATACACATTGAAGGACGAGCCATCTCACTTTGGGGATTTGTAACGCTACCTCAAGAGGACTCTCTCCCAGTGGCGGTTCTAATTAAGACGAGTAATCGGTATTAACGTCGATAATGACGTTCCTACGTCGCCGTAATATTTTTTCTCTCGTACACACAATTCTGTCGTTCCACGTGACATAGGAAAGTATCGATTTATATCGTCATTACCGTTACTTGTCTGTTACGGTGCCTCCTATTACGCCGCATCTCCAGCATTGTTCCGTCCAAATTATCGAGCAGACTCCGCTAGACTCGCGAAATAGCGAAACAATGCGGCCGTTTTTAATCACGAGTAAACTGGCGCGCGAGTTGTTTCGTTTCGTAGTCGGCTGTGTGTGTTTTGGGCGTCGCCTACCTGTCGTTACACTTTCGCTTTGCATCCGTCCTCCTCCCCCGCCCTTTGTTGATTAAAAACAGCGCAACGCTCCGTGCTGTCTGAAGACGAACGCTTCGTAATTCCGTGAGACGATAATCACAGTGGTGCTTTTTACTGCGACCTGTCGTCGCCCGGACACTTCTTACAGCGCAGCGCCGAGATGTCTGCATTTTCAGCTTGTGACAAAGATACTCGCCAGCGATAA